TAAATTACAAAATCTATATAATTCGCGATCATGGCATTTGCAGCAAATATGCTGAAATATCTAGAACTCAATAAAAGTCAAAATATTGGTATGAACCCGTTAAATAATATTATCGATTATTTCAGCTAACTGATTATAATTGAAACATCTCTACTCGAGATGCCTTCTCACTTCTGGTTAATTGTGTATGTGGTTTTGTTCTATTCGATTAGCTATCAAAGCAGTTGTCTGCGTTACCAAGCAATAAAGGTCATGGCGCTTGGATCAGCGGGGAGGTATCGGGAAATCATTAAAACTTTCTCACTTCTTTCTTACTCATTTTCCACAGGAAGAGTGCAGACTAAGCTGTCATTTTAGTAATGGAAACAATGATTGAACTTAGTAGATGCTAATTCAACATAAAAAAAAACTTGGGAAAAATTAGCTCGTGAGGGATTTGAACCCTCGTCTTCCCATGACTGTGCGCCAGCTGGGCGCTCTGACCGCTGAGCTAAGGAGCCTCGTTGTAGAGCCTTCGATCTTCCACTCTCATTCCTGTTTGTGACGTCATACTCAAAGGAAATGGGAAATGCGGTCTACTTTGGGCTTACATTACCTATCACTAGAATATTTGCATACTCTACATAGTGTTTTCTTTGTCTTCTTCTTGCCCACAGACTGACATTTCTTGCCATTTCCGACTACGATTCTACTTTCAACCCAGCTTCCTTCCGATTTGTTTTAATTTTTGCGTGGTAATCTAAATTACAAACTACATATAATTCGCGATCATGTCGCTTGCAACAGATATGCTGAAATACCTAGTGCTCAATCAAAGTCGAAATACCAGCCTAAGAACCCGTTAAATAATATCGATCCTTTCGTTAATTGAGAATAATTGAAGCTTCTCTACTCGAGATGTCTATTCACTACTGGTGAGTTATCGGGGAGAGTTAAACGGGGAGATATCGGAAAATAAAAAAAACTAAATAAATATCGGCATGAAACTCGTTAAATATTACTAACATTATGAATTTCCTTAAAAACAAAACTGCGACTATGACAATTTTGATGAATTCAATTTGTTTCCATATACAGTTTTGAAGTCGACGTTGCCTAAGTTATAAGAAGACCGGTGTGTTAGTCTCAAGCGATGAGAATATCTTAGTGGTAGATGCCAAATTTTCTTAGGAAATACATATTAAGCAGATTTCCATGAATTATTTCTACATTGCATTACTAGTGGCAGGGTAATTTGTGATTCCTCACAGATAGGCACTGGTAATCTGCCTATTTCGGCCGTAAACCAGTAATGCGTTCTGGTTTGCAGAGCAGTAGTCATTATACAATAGAGAAACAATTGAAACTTCGAGCTCGTGTTACAACGGGATATCTACGGGCCTCAGTAGCCACTTATAATCAAGAGGGCCATGAGATCGTTCACACACACCTGTACAAGAAAATGAAATAAAAACACAGACTCCATCTCATTTCCAACTCATTGAAGTTTTTCAGTTTTCTCGGGCTACGGTGGCCGCTAAATACGAGATCAACACCAGGCTTCCTCTACTTGTCTATGTCAGTAAATACTATGACAATGTGACATCAATACACACAGTAAAACGGTTGATCAGGTTATCAGGTTCTCCATAGGACTCCCGATGGACGGTTCTCACCTGTGTAGCAAATTATGAACATTTCAGCTAGATGGAGTTGAAATATAAATCCGAACGAACTGAAAATGGCATTTATTGTCTACATTAATATGAATTTAGGAATTATTTTCATTGATATAAACAAAATAGTATTTACAGAGTTAGTTGCCTGTTCTTGAATAATATTTAAAGGAAATATTGGGAGTTTGGTGACAGTACCACGATGTTACCTGATGACCGGTGGGAACATACTTTCCACAGGAAGAGTACGAATAAGCTATCATTTTATTGATGGTAAAAATGACAGAACTTAGGAGAAGCAAATTCAACTTACAAAAAATCTTGGAAAAATTAGCTCGTGAGGGATTTGAACCCTCGTCTTCCCATGACTGTGCGCCAGCTGGGCGCTCTAACCGCTGAGCTAACGAGCCTCGTTGTAGAGCCTTCGATCTTTCACTCTCATTGCTGTTTATGACGTCATACTCAAAGGATGTGCGGTCTACTTTGGGCTTACATTACCTATCACTAAAACATTTACATAGTGTTTTCTTTGTCTTCTTCTTGCCCACAGATAGCCATTTCTTACCATCACCGACTACGATTCTACTTTCAACCCAGCTTCCTTAGGATTCGTTTTAATTTTTTCGTGATAATGATAGGTGATAGTGAAGATGTGTGGAAATGGTAATGCAAGGTAGAGGGGAAGAGGTCGACCGAAGAAGACGTGGATGGAGTGTGTGAATGACGATGTGAGGAGAGAGGAGCGAGTGTTCAGATGAAGGCTGATAGAAGAGAATGGAAGAGAAAAATTAGCTGTGCCGACCCCATCTAGTGGGATAAGGTGGAGAAAAAGAAGAATCTATATTAAAATTCTATTTAATTCGAGTTCATGAAGTTTGCAATATCTATGCCGAAACATCTAGAACTCAATAAAAGTCAAAATATTGGTAAGAACCGTTAAATAATATTATCGATTATTTCAATCAACTGATTATAATGGAAGCTTCTCTACTCGAGATGCTTTCTCACTACTGATCTTTATGGTTTTGTTCTATTCGATTAACTATCGAAGCAGTTGTCTGCATTACCAAGCTATGAAGGTCATGGATGGCGCTTGTAGCAGCGGGGAGATGTCGAGAAATCATTAAAACTTTCTCACTTGTTTCTCACTCGCTTTCCACAGTAAGAGAGAGATTAAGCTGTCATTTTAGAAATGGTAAAAATGAAACAACGGAGTAAAAGCAATTACAACATAAGAAAGTCTTGGAAAAAATTAGCTCGTGAGGGATTTGAACCCTCGTCTTCCCATGACTGTGCGCCAGCTGGGCGCTCTAACCGCTGAGCTAACGAGCCTCGTTGTAGAGCCTTCGATCTTCCACTCTCATTCCTGTTTATGACGTCATACTCAAAAAAGTGGAAAATGCTGTCTAATTTGAGTTTACCCACCTGTAACTAGAATATTTGCATTCTTTGCATAGCATTTTCTTTGTCTTCTTCTTACTCACAGATTGCCTTTTCTGCGAGTTCCGACTATAATTCTACTTTCGACCCAGCTTCCTTACGATTTGTTTTAATTTTTGCGTGGTAATCTAAATTACAAACTATATATAATTCGCGATCATGTCGCTTGCAACAGATATGCTGAAATACCTAGTGCTCAATCAAAGTCGAAATACCAGCCTAATAACCCGTTAAATAATATCGATTCTTTCGTTAATTGAGAATAATTGAAGCTTCTCTACTCGAGATGTCTATTCACTACTGCTGAGTTATCGGGTAGAGTTAAACGGGGAGATATCTGAAAATCATTAAAACTAAATTAATATCGGCATGAAACCCGTTAAATAATACTAACATTATACATTTCCTTGAAAAACAAAACTGCGACTATGACAATTTTGATGATTTCAATTTGTTACCATATACAGTTTTGAAGTCGACGTTGCCTAAGTTATAAGAAGACCGGTGTGTTAGTCTCAAGCGATGAGAACATCTTAGAGGCAGATGCTAATTTTTCTTAGGAAATACATATTTAACAGATTTCCATGAATTATTTCTACATTGCATTACTAGTGGCAGGGCTTTTTGTGATTCCTCACAGGCAGGTACTGCTACTCTGCCTATTTCTGCCGTAAGCCAGTAATGCGTTCTGGTTTGCAGAGCAGTAGAGTCATTATACAAAAGAGAAACAATTGAAGCTACGTGCTCATGTTACTAGGTGATGCCTACAGGCCCTGGTAGCCACTTATAATCAAGAGGGGCATGAGCTCGTTCACACACATGTGTACAATAAATGAAATAACAACACAGACTCCATCTTATTTCCATCTCATTTAAGTTGTTCAGTTTCCTCGAGCTACGGTGGCCGCTGAATACGAGATCAACACTGGGTTTCCTCTACTTGTCTAAGTCAGTAAATACTATGACAATGCGACATCAATACACACAGTAAAATATTTGATCAGGTTCTCAGGCTCTCCACAGGATCTCCGATGGACGGTTCTCACCTGTGTAGCAAATTATTAACATTTCAGCTAGATGGAGTTGAAATATAAATCCGAACGAACTGAAAATGGCATTTATTATCTACATTAATATGAATTTAAGAATTATTTTTATTGATATAAACAAAATAGTACTTACAGAGCCAGTTGCCCGTTCTTGTATAATATTTAAAGGAAATATTGGGAGTTTGATGACAATACCACGATGTCACCTGATGACCGGTGGTAACATACTTTCCACAGGATGAGTCTGACTAAGCTATCATTTAGGAATGGTAAAAATGACATAAGTAGAAGCAATTACAACATAAGAAAATTTTGGAAAATATTAGCTCGTGAGGGATTTGAACCCTCGTCTTCCCATGACTGTGCGCCAGCTGGGCGCTCTAACCGCTGAGCTAACGAGCCTCGTTGTGGAGCCTTCGATCTTCCACTCTCATTCCTGTTTATGACGTCATATCCGCATACGTCCTGAATGGATTTCGTGCCTTTTTAATATCCTTCTTTTTTTAAATGAGCGTCTATTTTCTCTGTCCACTCTTTATTGAATGGTCGCCGCACTCCAGATGCATCTTGATGAGAATGTCACCGCCTATCTTGAAGATCGCCTTTTGGTAGAAATAGTAATACCTATTCGGACGGCTTGAGAATATTCTATACAACCATTGCATTGGAGTGGCGAGCACAGTATGATACTTATATATATCATTTTCTTCAGTATTTTTCACATCACAAAGTATTTTCGTATGAGTTTAAACACATCTCATTGATAGATCAAAAAAAATATGTTGTGTTTTTCTTCTAAGCATACAGCTTAAATGAAATTTTGAAAAACAATAAAAATTCCACGATAGAAACAGTTCGGCTCGTGAGGGATTTGAACCCTCGTCTTCCCATGACTGCACGCCAGCTGGGCGCTCTAACCGCTGAGCTAACGAGCCTCGTTGTAGAGCCTTCGATCTTCCACTCTCATTCCTGTTTGTGACGTCACACCAAAATCCTGGTGGTAGGACATCTTATGAGTCCGCATGACCACCCCGCTTATTTGGTTGATACGAATATACGGCATCATATCCTTTAGAACACTTCGATTTAAAATTTAAGAGATAATGAAAAACACGAGAAACGACAACTGCTCTTTAAATGTGTTTCAGTAAATCCAAGGAAAATAATCCAGAAAGCTTTTTATTGCTTAGATGGGTGGACGAGCTTACAGGCCACGTGATGTCAAGTGGTTACTGGAGCCCATAGACGTCTACAATGTAAATGTCGCCACCCACCTTGAGATATGAGTTCTAAGGTCTCAGTATAGTTACAACGGCTGCCCCACCCTTCGAACCGAAACGCATTACTGCTTCACGCAGGAATTGACAGGGTACCTGCCCATGGAGACTCAGAGAACAACCTACCACCAGTAATTACGCAAATAATAATTTTGATTTTTATTAACAATTGTTAGGTGTGTATTTCAATAGAAAAATTGATACCTGCCTGCGGGATTCGAACACCGTTGCATCGCTTGATATGAATACACCCGGCGTCTTATCCTTTAGGCCATGACGACTTCAAATCTTACAAGTTGTATCGACTCTTGTGTTTATTTGTATTTATAGCACGTTGCCCTCCTAATAAAATTAATATATTCTAATTTACGGGAGAAAATAAGAACGAAAAGACTACAGGAAGGTTTTTTTTTTTTTTTTTTACCCCAAGATAGAAGGTTGAAGTTTCCAATTGTGATATATACCGGATGCTCCAATATTCAAAACGTTACGCATGAGGTCATAGTACGCTGGCATAATGTACAAAGTATTGACTGAGTTTTCTCATTATAATTTTTTAGCGTCTTTTACGAAACCCTTGAAAAGAGAAGTGTGGTGTTATTCATTTTATTTATACTTTATTTCAGTTTTTTTTAAAACCATAACATTTTGTTAGTAAGAATTACTTATAATCTATGTTAGTATCTTAAAATCTAACACATAACTATCAGACATACATTATATATCATTACATTTTTTTTCCCTCCAGTGCCTGCTGCATAGGCTATTAATCAGCAGTCCCTCGATCTTGCTCGATATGATGTTCAGAAGACTGTTGCCATTGTGTCTGACTCGACGCAATAACGATGCACTTCTCTTCCGTATTATTGCATAGAGTCATCGGTGTGAGATGTCGCAAAAAAATAAACCGATCGTTATTCTAGGCTTGAACTAGTCTGAAGGTTGAGTTCTACTTTGCTTTATCCCCATTAGCTTAAACCACCTGCGATTGTTATTATGGAGAATGTCAAAAAACATAGTCCTATTCAGATCGCAAAAATCGACTCGTGAGGGATTTGAACCCCCGACCACCTCTACCATGTTTCAGACGGGCTGCTCTAACCGCTGAGCTAACGAGTCTTGTTTATCTAATTGCATTTTTTAAGTATATTTTAATTATGACGTAATACTAAATCATAGGTTAGAGTAATATCAACCTAACGGTTCGTAGCATAGGTTCCATTATCGTTTGATCATCTAAAAGTAATGCGAATTGATATGATAATAAAATGGCAGTGTTCCGATAACTCAGCGTTACATATTATCAATCAAACAACACGCTGACAGCGGGCATTCTGTTTTAATAGGATATGATAGATATACATTCATCTCTTTCTTACACTATGCGCACTACAAAGATGTCTAGAATATTCTTGAAACACCCCAAGGGAAATACGGATGAGGCATATTAGATTTAGTTTCGGATTTAGGATTATCGGCGATTACGATAATTTAGCGATATAAGACACTAAATTGATTTTATAGTACGCATGTAAGTATCGAATAATCACGTGAGCGGAATATATAATTATATTATTTAAGTACAGTAGATTGGGGGAATAGAGACTAGAGTTGGAATAGTGACAAATCTGGGATGTCACAATACTTTTGTTGTTATTAGATTTAACTTTGTTGAACTGAAAATGACTTTTATTTAGTGTTTAATAATATTAAATAGTTTGATTTAGTCATCAAAGTTTTGTAACTCATTAAAGATATTAAAAAGTTAATTAACTACAGTTAGGTACCTACCTAACAACTAAATAGTGCCAGCCCTATCGAAAAATTCTATTGTCCCCATATGTAACCTGATTCACCGCAAAGCCAAGGTGAATCGGGTCAAGCTAGTTTTATCCGTTTTTTCGTATATTTTGTAATGAATTATGTATAATAACGCATCGTATATAAAAATTAAAGCCTCCGGAACCATTTTAATCTTCATTTTATTGGTATTACCCTAAGAAAAACCATTGAAAATTTGTGTTGGATTTGGAAAGGGTCCTGATTCGCCCCAATTTACGGTATAAGTTAATTGCTGCTTGTGTTGCAGAGCATCACTCGAGATGAGAAGAGATCAGAAGTATTACAGAAGAGCCAGACGTGGTTTATGAAGAGCTAATGACTCAACAATATGATAATCTATCTATCACTATATGGATAATCTAATACTACTAGCTTATGACCTAATAATACTATTGGCACGATAGACGCGTGGGCGGCTTATCTAGTATTAAACTTTGGGCCATCACAGAAATACATGCCGCCACCTGAGGTTAAATCTCAATTGAGTTATATAACCGCTGTCCCATTCTTAAACCGAAATGTAGATAGCCTTGCTACATAAATAGACAGGGCGCCGGTATTTAGGCGTGATGACTCGGACTGACCACGTCTATGAGTGACGAAGACCACTTAATATCAGAAGGAACGTCCTCTTCTGCCTATATTTAAATTAGATGATGACCGAGCTTTGCTCGGTTTTTTTTTTACAACGCCATCTTGTTGTGTCTTTAAAGCAGTTAGTTGCCCTCAATTAAGAAAAATAGTATTATTATTCGCCAATAGATGTCGGGAAGAGTTGATTATTGAAAACACGAATAAAATAACATTTTCTGAAAATAATCGTAGCTAGATCAGTTTATTGCCCCCGAAATCCCCTGTATACTAAATTTTATGAAAATCGTTGGAGCCGTTTCCGAGATTCAGATTATATATATTATACAAGAATTGCTCGTTTAAAGGTATAAGATAAGATAAGATAAATCCTACTCATGGAGGCATATTTCACATTCCGCCAACAGTAGGTATGAGTATATTTTCATGTATATAGTTTCTAGGGCTTTTAACATTGCAATAGTCACATCGCTTGACACATCAAGTTGACTGACACTTGACACTCACAAGTGCATCAGGCATCTTCGCCTTTAGGGCACGACGGCGACGCTTACCCAATGAGTTTCTCGCTGGGTTTTCTCATTGGGGGTGTGATTTCTGCGATTCACTGCTCTTGCTATGGTTAGTGTTAGCTCTCTCTCAAGTTGAGCCTGTGTGCTTACTTACCCGTCCGCGAGAAGCTGGAATAGCCCCTTAGAGTATCAGCGAATCGGTAGGGAAAAAAGCACGGCGCTTTAATCGTTCAAGTCACAGTTTGTTTGTGATTTAAGTTCCCGCACACAGTTGTTGGTACTTTAGACATGATTTTATCATCCTAGCACTATCAAGGAGCGACGAGTAACGTCTGAAGGATTTTGGATTTAAATAAAAATAACGTACGGTTCGCTTTTGTATATTACGTAAAGATGTGAATCAAATTAAATTCTACAGAGCTTGAACATTGCCTGAATGTAACCAAAGATGCCATTTAACATTGCACGGTATCGTATGGATTCGGATAATTTCGTTGGCCAATAGCGCAAATGCGATTTGAATGTCTGTTAGAACCATACACCGAATCAAAGGTATGGTCTTTTAGTTTTCTTCTATATTCTTTACTGGTCAATGAAGGTAATACGATCCTGTTAATTGGCAACATCGGTTCGTGGTGATGATGTCTCAGTGGCAACTTGATTGGCGACAGCAAAGCCTTTTGGAAGAAATGCGGTGAACGATATATCCCTGGATTGGTATATTTTTCGCAAATTCTTGTGTGACCTGAAAAAAACGTGGATGACGCGATAAAGTACACTACAGTTTTATTGATAAAAATATTGGAGCACGGGACAACGCACTTATCGCCTTTTGACTTCTAATTATTATATGACCATTGATAGTTTTCGTACGTGCCCTTATCTATCTTGAATCAAATATTGACAAGAATGGCTGACTATATTGTCAAACCCTTCTCGATACCAAATGATCTGAAGACAAATTAATAAATGCATCGCGCCTTTAACTCTGTAACTTGATTGTTCGAACTGTTACCAACATCACTAAACTTTATTCATCATAGTTCAATTAAAGTTCTTTAGACACGAATATTATTTTGTAATTTCCCAAAAATATGACATGTCGTTTGTTTGTATTTACTGATGATAGGACGTCTTGTGAGTCCGCACGGGTTGGTACCACCAACCTATTTCTGCCTATTTCTGCCGTGAAGCAGTAATGCGTTTCGGTTTGAAGGGTGGGGTAGCCGTTGTAACTTTATTGAGACCTTAGAACTTATATTTCAGGGGGGGTGGCGCATTTACGTTGTAGATGTCTATGGGCTCCAGTAACCACTTAACACCAGGTCGGCTGAAAGCTCGTCCACCCATCCAAGCAATAAAAAAAATTGTATTCGCCCTAACGTTTTTCGTTTGTGGTAATTACACTTTTTAACTTTGATTCCTTAACGTCAATTGAACAACCATTCCACTTATATCTGTTTTAAAAAAATTACATTCTGCTAATTGAAGATTGGGTTCGTTATGCAAACCAATTGATCTTAAACTGTCTGTTTCAATAGGATGGGGTCATTGACATCTTTATGTCTATGGTCTCGGCTACCCACTTAATACCAGGCGGTTCTCTGTCAATCTACAACAAAAGAAAGATATTATGATAATTGGGGCAACATGAATTTGCTATTGACATAGTCAAATTACCGTAAGTCAATTGACTGAACGATTTGATTATTCTGGGATCTGGATACCTACTTAGGATATGGAACAATGATTTGATTGTTCTGGGAACTAGATAGTACTTAGGATATGGAACAGCTCAATTAGCTGTCAAAGTAAAGTTATCACGTGCCGCAAATCGTCAAGTGTGGTGTGGGTCGTTCCAGGTCAAGAGCAGTTTCGAATTCCAACAGGAGGTTCGGATGAATGTTTCATTTCAAGACGCACTTCGGAAACTGAAGGTATTTATCCAATACGATTAATTCTAATTCTAAGATTTACCTTGTGGCGTGAGACAGTAAAGGACGGGTGCGTAAAACAGAACTACCCCAGGATTCACGTCATGGTCGTGCTTCGTTTGCCCAAAACTAGATCTTCTGTTATTTAAATCGGACCTAGAATCAGATTTCTTCGTAGAATCATTAATAACATCAATTTTATCGACATTCACTAAAACGTTTAAGGATCTCGCAATATTGTTTACATCGTTCAGAAATTGTTCTTTTTTCTGTATTTTTTCTGCTCCTTCTGGTTCATATTTAAATGTTTCGGCAAATTCTTCTACAGAGTAATCTCCGTCGAAGCCTGATTTTGAAATAGCATCATTATCATAATCATTCGGATCCGTTTCGTGTTGAATTCTCGTAACCTCGCTCGATATTTTATTTCCGTCATTATCATCTAAGACAATTTCGCTGTCCGTTTCTGGCTTAGAAATTACTATACGAATTATCTTGGACAAACGTTCAGTTGTTGTCTAAAAAGCAATAGAATTTATTTAAAAAAAAAGGTGTTTATGTGGAAAACGTTTGTATTTATAAAAAGGTTCATGAATCAAATTTAAAATGACTATATGTCGCTCATGTTTTCTGTAATTTTTTTACAGGAAACTTATCTTAAAGCAAGGTTTTTAATTCCACGGCCCACCTGGTGATAAGTAGTTTACCGGAGCCCATAGACATCTAGAACTTAAAATGCCGCCACCCATCTCGAGACATGAGTTGTAAGTTCTCAGCTTTAACAGTACAACGGCTGCCCCACCCTTTAAGCCGAAACACAATACTGCTTCACGGCAGAAATAGGTGGTGGGATAGTACCTACTCGTGCGAATTTTTATGACGTCTTACCACCAGTCCGGGGAGATTACACCTTGAGTACCTCTACCTATACAAAGGCTGTGTTGTATAACTGCAGCACTCTTCAAAACGTAGGGCCAAATTGCTTCGTAGCAGAAATATGCCAAATGGTTACATCACCGCGGACACACAATACCCTCTACTAACAGCAAAATAAAAAGAAATAATATTGGACGTGAATAAAAAATTTAACATACCTCATTTCCACTAATACATGTGATAATAAAAGCTGTTATCACGAATAAAACGTGCATTGCGTTGAAAATTCTGGACGCAGATTAAAACTTAAAGGTTCCACGCGTTCGTGGAATTAATTGATTAAAACAACAGTGAAATTGATTTACTTAGGTGACCTTATTAATATTTAAACGACGAGACTATAAAATGTGATTCTGATATTAATATTCTTGTGATTTTTATCTTCGGTTCCCCAGTACTATGTTACAAATATAATTTAAACCTACTGAATTGAATATCAGAATCTGCTTGTCGGTAACAGCTAGTGTACCAAGAATATTTTTATAAGCATAGCATTGTTTTATTATGTAGTTGGCACATGACTTGGGATGAGCAGACGTGACGTGTTGTGACGCTGTTGATTTTTTTTATTTTTTTTATTGCTTAGATGGGTGGACGAGCTCATAGCTCACCTGGTGTTAAGTGGTTGCTGGAGCCCATAGACCCACCCACCTTGAGATATAAGTTCTAAGGTCTCAGTATAGTTACAACGGCTACCCCACCCTTCAAACCGAAACGCATTACTGCTTCACGGCAGAAATAGGCGGGGTGGTGGTACCTACCCGTGCGGACTCACAAGAGGTCCTACCACCAGTGAAAAGATTGCCCGTCCGGCGTCATTTGTGAGGTGCAGAAATATATCTGAACCAATGTTAGCTGTCCTTTCTCGGCGACAGCGGACGTTTGGCTGAAAATCTGAATAGGGTGGGTAAAGACTTAATAATTTACCGTTTTCTTGTTGTCTCGAGGGCCTGTTCTGGCTTCACCTTGGTTGGTGGGTCAACTAACGTGGCTCAGCCTGGAAGAACCTACTAACATCTACCCTAGCAAGAGCCGTGCTTCGTTTGATTTTATCACTGGAACGGTCCAACTATGAAGAACTGGCGAGAAACTCAGGGGGTTGTGTTTATCGATTAAGTTTTATTCGGCATCTTCTTGTCTACTTTACTTACTTTTGGCGTATTTAAAAAAAAATCATCTTAACGAGGCGAATTGGGAAGAGATTGAGTCGATAACCCAATAGAAAAATAGTTTTCCATGGCATCTACACACATCATGTTGAAGTATTTTTCGCGCAGTACATTTATTTTTTTGCCAAAGCCAAGTAGCTTTAAAATCAAAGCTGACCAAAGGCGTCTAGGAATGTTCTTAAGTAGCATGTATATGTCAAAATTGATCAGATGTCAAAATGAGTCTTCACGTGCTACATGCGTGCTACACGAGTTAGCTGTATGTATAAAAAATATAGATAATATTATTAAAGATGGACAAACTAGACATGGCGAAAGTGCAACATTTTTTCCTCTGTACAAACTATTTACTTCTAGATTTTGAATACCACATTTTAATACAATTAAAGATTTTGACTCGCTTCGGGAATATACTGATTTCCTCGGCACAGTAACCATAGTTTCTCAATAACCAAACAGTAAAAAAAATTCAATTGCAAAAATAAAACAAATTTCACATAAAACTATGATACATTTAATTAAATACTTAACTTTATAAATTATGGTACATCATTCGAGCTATAAGTTAGCTATCAAACCTTTCACGTTTGAATAAGTACCCGCTATGAAAAGGAGGATTCCTACTAACAAAACGAATACATTCTTCCATAAACGCCATCGGTATTTCCCGAGACCCGGATCCTCCCAAACAACTAACAGCTCTATGATAGCTGGGAATATAAAGCCCATGTTGGATAGGCAGAACGCTCCTAGCTGTGAAAAGAGATGGAGAATATAATTTTATGTGCAATTTCAAAAAGGGCACATCTCTGGAAATGTAAAATTTTCAGGAAATGAAAAAGAACTGATTATTTTCTAAAGTAGTGTAAAATTTAAAATATTTACTTTTGAAATATATTTTAGTGTTAATTAGCAATTGAAAATTACTGGATTTATTATAAAATGGGTGTAGGTAAGCCTCAAAACTACATGTATATGAAAAAACGTATTTGAAAAAATATGCGACATGTGCCCTTTTCGAAATTGCATATTCAATTGTATGCAATAATAAAGCCCAACATTTCCTTCTGTGGTAAATATTCCGAAAACACTTACGGAAAAAATAAGTAAACGCCGAAACGGCTGTAATGAGATCCAGACTGCCCTAGTGGATCTTCTAGTTTGGTAGCGGTGAGATTAAAGTGAAGTTAGAAGATGGGTCAGCAAAGTAAGCAAAGATATCGTCTTCTCGCATTAAAACTGTATAATCTCAAAACTTACAAATTGTACAGGAGAGTGTTTTAAAGGTTTAACATGTGATATTTTTAATATTAAACATCTTTGCAACATTTATTTTTATTTTTTACCAGTTACATTATCTGTCTATTAAAGTAAGATAAAATTATGTATTAATTTTGTTAATAGTATCTAGTCAAAATAAACTTTAAAAAAATAATTAACTACGCTCTTTTGACAGTATTTATGAGAAAAATACCGGTGATACCAAATGATTCCGCATATTAACTTAATTTCGAATATTTTAGGAAATTGTACACTTTTAATGCGAAGAGACGATATGTTTGTCTTTTGACAAATACTAACTGTTTTATCAATACCTTTGTTTTCGTCTATAGACATCAGGTATAGTTGACCGAAATATAAGAATAATATGGTATCTATCTACCATACGTTAACCCTCACAGCCATTATTGGCTCATCTACAATTCGTTCTACCCTACTCATAAAATTACAGTTCAATATATGAGCGTTGCGGTAAATGGGCTTTTAAAGTTGGCATACTATTGCCCTTGAATTTGTCATGCATCTGATCGACTTACCAATCCCATCAAATTTCCAATATTGGGGAAGGCGATAGCAATGGCTGTGATGACAATAATGAATGAGCCTCGGTATAGTCTCTCCCACAGCCAGTGCTTTTTAGGGTCGTGCTTTTTGGACACATAGTGCCATACCAAATTGAAAGGAGCCCAGAAGTTCAAGGCGAAGGTCACGAAGATCATGACAGCCATTAGGCACTTCATTATTGTAGCGAAACTGAAAAGAATAAGAGAATTACTTTCAGATACAACTAAAGGACAACCTTGTTTAATCTGGTGCTAGGACCTCTTGTGAGTCCGCGCGTGTAGGTAACACCGCCCTGCCTATTTCTGCCGTGAAGCAGTAATGCGTTTCGGTTTGAAGGGCGGGGCAGCCGTTGTAACTATACTTGAAACCTTATAACTTATATCTCAAGGTGAGTGGCGCATTTACGTTGTAGATGTCTATGGGCTCCAGTAACCACTTAACGCCAGGTGGGCTGTGAGCTCGTCCACCCATCTTAGCAATAAAAAATAAAAATCCTATTTAATTCATTGCAGAGTTTCGGAGACTTATCCCATTATAACAGGTCTTTACCTATGAAGTTACCGATTTAAAATACTGGCCATTTTATCGTAATTTTTATATGTCTTTGTTGGCAACAATACTCACATTTCTGATGGAAAATTCAGAGTAACAGGCGACCTGGAGCTTTCGCCAAAGCCCCAGTATCCGAAAAAGCCAACTACTATCAAAAACGACACCACCACGGTCATACCTGAAATTAAAAAAGTGATTTGAATAGTTTTATAATATTTTTTATATTTTTTTATATTATAATATTTTTAATACGCGAGGTTTATATTCGTAATTAAAGGTGCGTTTTATTTGGCATTAGCATCAACAGTTCGATGTTTTTAATTGAACTTCAATTAAGCTTACACCATTGAAATAGCTGAAGAAGTTTTTTTGTTATGATATTTTTTCCAAATTTTAAAACTTTAATGGCTCTCCTGTAAAGTTACAAAAATGTCTAAAAAACGAAATACCCTTCTATAATGTTTATTAGGTATAATGTGTATTTAGCGGTAGGCAGCGGCTTGGCTCTGCCCCTGGCATTACTGAAGTCCATGGGCGACGGTAACCACTCGGAATTACTTTGTGAACGAGAATATGCGAGAGAAGGGTGTGAGTGGAGAGAGGACCTTTGATAGGCCCAAATGGAAATAGAGGAAATTCTGTTCCGACCCCACATAGAGATAAGGACAGGGTTCAAACGAAGAAGATTTGAGGGTTAGACCTTTATTATGCATAATAATTCGCACATGATGGGAACAGTTCATGAAAATACAAAAAAACTTGCTTTCAAGTTTTGACCCTTGGCATAGTTTTAGGCAAAGGACCTTTCAAAACAGACTTTCATCTCTGTGTGCTCACTATTCTTCACTACGTGGAGTTTTCAAGGTGATTAATGCATGGTCTGTTTGGGTCCTGTATAGAGGGCACAAAAACCTGGCATTGTACACCGGCCCTAAGGTTCTAAGTAGCCGAGCAGTTAAACAAACTTACCGGCACTTAAGATTATTGGAAACTTCTTTGGCTCTTTCATATTGTTCTCAATTGGAAGCGAAACACCGATGCCCTCCATACTGAAGACGACGATTCCGCAGAATTCAAAGAACCCTATGACATCTTTCCAAGCTGGAACCGTCGAGATATCCGGCGCTGAACGTAGACTGTACACTACCGTCGCTATCACGCACGCAACTGTAATGTTTTATTTTTGCTTAGTTGGGTGGACGAGCTCACAGCCCGCCTGGTGTTAAGTGGTTACTGGAGCCCATAGACATCTACAACATAAATGCGCCACCCACCTTGAGATATAAGTTCTAAGTTCTCAGTATAGTTACAACGGCTGCCCCACCCTTCAACTGAAACGCATTACTGCTTCACGGCAGAAACAGGCAGGGTACCTACCCGTGCGGACTCACAAGAAGCTCCACCACCAGTGTTCTCTAGATCACCTAATGTTTCCTAGATTGATATTGCTTAAATGAAAGCATCCAATTAAGGTCGTCATAGATACGTGATTGATAAAATCTGGGCTTCCCAAACTTATACAAGTTCTAAAGTCATTATTGAAATAACCAATCTTTGGCTGAGTTGAAGAACCTTAGCCTAATCATATTTTTAATTGCTTTTGTAGGCAGACGAGCATCCAGCCCACATGATTGTGAATTGGTGAGTAGTTACCGTCCCTCATGGACTTCAGCAATGCTAGAAGCAGAGCCAAGCGGCTACCTATCGATAAGCACTCTCCGTAAACCTGGCTTGAAAAAACTTCACAACGTGTCACTCCTGTTGAAGCATGGCGTCCGTGTCTTAATTTTCGTACAGAGTATTAACCAATGTTTAAGCACACAATGCACTTATTCCCCACGACAGTAATAGGCGATGGACGTACCTTTCTTTACAGGTACACAATATGTCTTTCAACTAATAAAAATAATTCGATTCTACAGCCTGTTTATGTAACAGTTACTGATTAGATTATTATATTATTGCTCATTTTTCAATTTTTATTTCCACGAAATCCATCCTCTTTTCCACCCTTGATTTATTTAAAGCATATCACGTTAACTTAGCGACATGTACTATCTTTTTTAGTCCTTCAATATTCGAATTTATCATAAAGCAAGTTATATTCCAGTTACAAAATTACCTATGAACACATCAGCGAGGAGAGTGAAAGGCGCTAAGTATTTCAGTGTTGTGATCATGCATAACAGAAGTATTGGAACTAATAGAGCTAAGATGTAAAGCCTCAAGTAATTCAGGTTTTCTGAATCGATTCCCTCATTGCCCCCGATCAGCTGTTTAATGGTCTTCGCTATGATGATTTGGTAGACGCAGCAGGCCCCAAACAGGTCTATGCAGATAATCAAGTCTACTGCGTATCTGAAATAGAAAATCAGTTATTCTTTACATTTCATTTGGCATTCGTTCTCTAACAGACTTTGAATCAAACGTTGGGAGGAAACGATTTTAGATTTAGATATAATTAAAATATTGTTGTTTATTTGATGAAAATCTATCTACCTGAACCATTTGCTGTACTTCCTTAGTTTTGGGAACGGTCCTATCTCCAATGACGCCTCAGCGACATCAGGATATGACATCTCTGGTACATGCAGCCTTTTGTACAATATTTGTGCCGATTTCACCAGAATCTGAAAGAACATAAGGCAACCTATTAGCTGGTTACCAATTTACCGGTTGGTGAACCTATGGTTATGCTTTGAACTTATGTGATGTTAAGAGGATACCGGGAATAGACAACTTGATTGGTGAGATTATTGACAAAAAAAATATATAAATGTATAAAATAACTCACATGCACGCAGTACGTAATGTAAAATCCAAAGACGATTGTAATAACGAGAGAACTCCACAATCCACATTTCATATAAGCCTCGTGTATACCCAAAATTCCACCACCCAAACAACCTTTTACAAGATGCCCTATTGATTCTAAGGTACTGAAACAAGAACAGAGAGGACAACGTTCTTATAATAGTTTAATCAGCAAATGTAGTTACTATTTCTGACCGTCTTCGTCTGTATTATCACGACATTTTTTGAAAGGGTATCACGCACAAGGATATCACAAAATCTTTGGATTTTTTTTTATTGCTTTTATGGGAGGACGTGCTCAAAGCCCACATTTATTTATTTATTTTTTATTGCCCTTGTAGGCAGTCGAGCATACGGCCCATCTGATGGTGAGTGGTTACCGTCGCCCATGGACGTCAGCAATGCCAGGGGCAGAGCCAAGCCGCTGCCTATGCTGCGGTATTAAGTGGTTACTGGAGCCCATAGACATTCGTAGAACAAAAATAAAATATACTAAATAGTTGATTTTGCATAATCACTTGTGGTAAAGTCTGGTATTTTGAGTTCGCACTTGTACGTGGCGCTTTAGGTGGGAAAGGCATTTTGAAAATTTGATCTTTTTTATTTATTGCTTAGGTAGGTGGACCAGCTCACGGCCTACCTGGTGTTAAGTGGTTACTGCAGCCCATAGCCATCTACAACGTAAATGCGCTACCCACCTTGAGATATAAGTTTTAAGATCTCAGTATAGTTACAACGGCTGCCCCATCCTTCAAACCGAAACGCATTACTGCTTCACGACAGAAATGGATTACATTTATCTTTATTTTGAATAGATCTCTTCTAGGTTCTAAGCTCGGTGTTGCTTGATTTTGATGAAGCCAGACAATTCTGTGGTAAAGCAATCAAGATTTTCAAATCGATTGTCGTGCTTGTCACTATGCCAATCTAATATATTTTTTGGACATCGTATGTCAAGATGTACCATATCATTTGGTCTTTCGAGGCGAGAATACTGGTTTCATAGGTTTCGATTAGATAATGCATTGGTTCATTTAAATTCGTTCTTTAAAATATATAATATATTCTATTAGTACCTTTGTCATTGTCAATAAAACAATTATTCAGATAAATGTAGGTCTCATTTCAAGCGTTACAATTTGATGATCGACGGTCGATTTCGGTCCATAACGAATTCGACCTTGCATTACGTTGATAATTGGAATGTATTGACATTCCGGCTACTAATGATCAGATACATGGGTAAGGAATAACAGTGAACATTTGTATACTGAATTTTATCTGCTTAATTTCTTATTAATCTGGTTTGTAGCTCATAGACATCTATCTGCACAAGACACAAGCTTGAAGCTTCAATTTTACACTGAAGGGCTTAGAGGTTACATATATTTCGTTTTTTTTAAAACGAGGTTTTCAAATGTCATGATCGGCTGTTGATTTAGTTTAAAGGAGGCAATAAGCCACTAATAATGGAAATTAATATCAGATAAACAGATATGGGTCTACATGAAATGTAATGTCTGTGACAAAAGTCCACGATCGATTCAAAATGGAATTCGTAAAGTTATTGAGGACATACAGCCGTAAATGTGCGAATTAGTGATAGCAAATTTTATGAAAAAAAATAATTGCTACTAGCGAATTCATGGTAACCATTTGATTAATTTTGTTTTACGTTTTTAATGGAACACCCTTTTGTTTATTTAAATAAAGCAAACACCCGATAGTTTCTAATTTCTTGAAATAATTTTTGAAAATATACTGTTTTTGGAACAAAGTTCTTTATGAGACGATGCGGACGGGCACCCTAACTGGGAAAAAACGTCCGTAACGTAAGATTTTTATTAGTAGTGCACACAGTGTACGGCTTAACTTTGTAATAACGTTCAAAAATATAATTTATTTTTTTCTTTAAATCAAAATAAAGCCTCTTAGATCTTTATGAATTGCTGTCCAATTCTTCATACCGGAGTGCATAATTGCATTATGTGTGCTCGCTCGGAATATATCCTATTGCAACCAGAGCATATGAAAATATGGGTTGGATCGCGGCATGCTTAGAAAACGCTGCTACCGAGTCTCTGATGAATCTTTATTGTCTTTCATGACATCCAAAGAAAAATCTGAGGTGGTACTATTTTAGATCTGCTAAATATAACCTTCAAACATACTTAATACCTATTGACCACTTACTTAGTTGGCTTTCTGGTAGACCTGTGAGCGACAAAATCATAACTGTCCTTGTCTGCGTGGAGAGTGTATTTCTTCTTGTTCGGTGGTGGGTGTGGAGGCGGCTTGCTCGAAGGTTCAACTTCTGTGTTTGTATAGCAGTGGTTCTGGAAAACGATTAGAATTAATTATTTAATAACAGTGGATTTCAAAGTGGTATTTGCCTAAACGGATATACAAAGGCAAGGTGTATTTTTATTATTGATTCTAGCTGCACGCAGACCAGCTTACAGTCAAAGTGATGATAAGTCACCGCAGATGGGCATTAGTAATGTTAAGGACACAGCCAAATTGCTGTCTATTGCTGAGAGCTCTTTTCAAAGTCCCTTTGAAGAAATACATTTTATAGCGCTCAGGAAACCCTCAACGAAGCAAAAAAGATCTCTGGAAATTGATAGTTGCATGCGGGATTCGAACACCGGCACGATCGCATCGCTCGATACGAATTCACCGTGCATCTTATCTTTAAGGCAACGACCAAAAGGTGATTGAAACTATAATTTACGGCTTAATTTTGCTTTTTACAATTTCCGATGTTAGAAATGCAGTTTTCATGTTTACTGAATTTTAAGATGTTATTTGTTGAAACTTGTATATTCTACGTTGTATTAGAAAATCATAAATGGGATTAATAAAAAATTGTATTCATCAGTTACTTGTAAGCTTCCTACTCCTACTTGTAAACCAAATAAGTGTTAATTAAAATTTAAATCTTCATATTGTAAGACTCCACTTCCAACAGTCAGGAAATAATACACAGATTGCAGTAGTTTACTTAATTCTGTATTGCTTTATTTGAAACTCCACTTTTACAATCTTTAGACATCTGCTCACTACCGAATACACTGATTTCTCCTCTCGTTTCTCAGACTACCGCCTTTTTTATTATCTCACAACCCCACCACTGGCATTGCTACCACCAACANATCTTTAGACATCTGCTCACTACCGAATACACTGATTTCTCCTCTCGTTTCTCAGACTACCGCCTTTTTTATTATCTCACAACCCCACCACTGGCATTGCTACCACCAACAGTGTTGCTATTTGGCAATACAAAAATTGCCTTAACTTTAACATGACCAATTTTATTTTAATTATTTTACAACAAACCTTACAATATTTTAAATTATATTGTTATTGGAACTACACAACCCAAATAATTAGTCGTTTTTAGAACACTATAGAATTATCAAAATTTCTGTTTGAGAAGGTAACTAGGCTATTGGCGGGATTGAAATAAATTCTATTATTATTCTTCTTCTTTTTCTCCACCTTATCCCATTAGGTGGGATCGGTACAGCGAATTTTTCTATTCGATTCTCTTCTATCAGCCGTCATCTCAACACTCACTCCTCTCTCTCTTATATCCTCATTCACACACTCCATCCATGTCTTCTTCGGTCGACCTCTTCCCCCTCTACCTTGCATTACCATTTCCATACATCTCCTAGTCACATGCATCTTCTCTCTACGCATCCATGTCCATACCACGTTAACCTAAATTATATTTCTATTATTACTTGAACTACACAACCCAAATAATTAGTCGTTTTTTAGAATACTATAGAATTATCTAAATTTTTGTTTGATAGTAACTAACAAGGCTGTTGGCCGAATTAAAATTTCTAAATAAAATTTGTGTGCGAGTTAGTTATTTAGGTATGTAATATATATTTGAATTAGCTTAACGAGCTCAAGGCTCGCGTGATGTTAAAGCGTTATCTAATCAAAAAAATAACAAAGTGTAGGTATTTATTTAATATATATATTACTGGCACCCTGCCTATTTCTGCCGTGAAGCAGTAATGCGTTTCGGTTTGAAGGGTGGAGCAGCCGTTGTAACTATACTTGAGACCTTAGAACTTATACCTCAAGGTGGGTGGCGCATTTACGTTGTGGATGTCTATGGGCTCCAGTAACCACTTAATACCAGGGGGGCTGTGAGCTCGTCCACCCATCTAAGCAAAAAAAAAAGTCAGTGTATATGTATGTATATATATTGTTTTGTATCTTGTAATATGTATATATCATTATATGTAGTGTTTACTGTATGCACTAGGTTTGTGTTCCTAATTTATCTTTCCTTCTGCGGGCCTACTGGAAGAGATTTCAACATGAAATAAGTAGTGCCCTTGTACTCTGTATCCTTATTGTGTACAAAATATATTAAACTAGCTGACCCGGCAGACTTCGTAGTGCCTCAAACGATAAATAAAAGACACAAAAAAAAAGGAATCCGTCCGACGGGGGGACATCAAAGGGAAAACAAAATTGTTGTTTTGATTTAATTCCGAGCATTGTCATATTTATCTACCTTTTAAACCTTCTCTGGAATTCCACAAATAATTCAAGATCAAAATTAGCCAAATCGGTCCAGCTGTTCTCGAGTTTAAGAGAGACTAACGAACAGAAATTCATTTTTATATATATAGATAAATAGATAAATAAATAATTTATTATGTCTAAAATGTTTATTTACCTCTTCGTTTTATAGTTATATGGATACAATTAAATTCAACGCGCAGATATCTTCGCGAAATAGGAGGAAAATAAAAAATTAAACCGGTCTGATGAGGAAGACTCGCGCATTCCTCCAGCGATTTTCGATGAGATCTTAATACAATACAATATTGATGACGTCAGAGAATTTATATTAAAATTATTTGTGTACTAATAAATAAATGTATAATTTTTATTTCCTTTGAAAGTACGATATTTCCTCTCTTATATAAAATTTATGCTATCATACAAAAAAAAATGCGCAACGGCGGCCCATAGAAGAATGGGCAATCTCCTTTCACGTCACAAGATGGGCTGGATCTGGGTGACAGCGTCAAGCAACATTAATAAAGGAGTAGCTGGGCTATGCTCCTGGCATTCTTGACCTCCATGGGCGAGAGTTGAAAAAGGAATAATAATAAAAATTATGATAGTTGATTTTCGTTTTTTTTTATTGCTTATGTGGGTGGACGAGCTCACAGCCCACCTGATGTTGAGTGGTCACAGGAGCCCATAGACATCTACAACGTAAATGCGCCACCTACCTTGGGATATAAGTTCTAAGGTCTCAGTATAGTTACAACGGCTGCCCCACCCTTCAAACCGAAACGCATTGCTGCTTCACGGCAGAAATAGCGGGGTGGTGGTACCTACCCGTGCGGACTCACAAGTGGTCCTACTACCAGTAATTACGCAAATTATAATTTTGCGGGTTTGATTTTTATTACACGATGTTATTCCTTCACCGCGGAAGTCAATCGTGAACATTTGTTGAGTACGTATTTCATTAGAAAAATTGGTACCCGCCTGCGGGATTCGAACATCGGTGCATCGCTCAACACGAATGCACCGGACGTCTCATCCTTTAAGGTCACGAAGAAGGCGCTGAAAACTGTTGTATTTCTGTCGCGAAGCAACAATGTATTCCTTTAAGAACCACTGGGCAGCCTTTGTACCTTACTAATGAAACCAGACCTCATGTCTCAGGATGGCAAGTTACCGGAGCAACTTAACACCGTGTGTGTAATGAGTTCATTCTCTCATTTAAGCAATAAATAAAACCTGTGAATCACGGTGGCGAGTTTCGCTAGACCAATTGTCTACATCGTACATCGCGTCGTACAACAGGTCATCTCGGATCCTCCCGATCCACTAACGGTGCTTCTAGGTACTTCAAGCACCGGTCACCGTTCTCGTCGAACCCGTCGCTTGCGACGAAGAGCTCGACGAGTAAATTAACTCTTAGACACAGCCCACTGACTTTCTCGCCGGATCTTCTCAGTGGGTCGCGTTTCCGATCTGGTAGTAGATTCAGAGAAGCACGACTCTTGCTAGGGTTCGTGTTAGCATCGTCGTCAGGTTTGAGCCCCGTGAGCTCACCTACCAGTTAAGGTTCCGCTGGAATAGTCTCTCTAGGTTACCAGCTTAGGTAGGAAAAAAAAAATAGTCGTACAAGAGCGATATTTTAAATCGTAATAAATCAAATTCGAAATACTGCTTCAAATATAACTTGACAGTGATGATGTACCAAATTTGTAGCTATCAATGTTTATATTTCGTAATAGAAATTCCCTGTGGTTTTACCCGCGCTAATATTTGTCATTAATAGGAAGGAAATACGTTACATTTTCCCGGCATCGCGAGTTGCGTGTGCAATCTCTGATTCGTAAGCTACCGTTCGATTTGTCTCGGTGGGAACATCAAATAAGTAATGATTACTGGGAACAAATCACGCACGGTCATCTGGGCCCAATTTAGGATACTCTGTCTGTGACATATGTACATTCTTATACAGCCCACAGCCCTCGGCGCAAGAGTTAGAGCCGTTAATTACTGCACCACAATAAAAGGCAATGTCGTTGTTTATCATCGCGCAAAAATATCCGGCCCGATCTTATACTGTTTCTGTTATTTACCTTGATAAAAGTATCCTATGTATAAATAAAGGATAAGGAAGTTTTATCCAAAAATATCCAGTGGTTTTACCGTGAAAGAGTAACATACATCGACTCGTTCTCACATATTTTAGCTTTAAAATTTAGGCAGTAAAACCCACTGAGTTTCACGCCGGATCTTCACAGTGGGACGCGATTCCGATCCGGTAGTAGATTTAGAGAAGCACTGCTCTTGCTAGGGCCAGTGTTAGCAACTATCTCAGCTTAAGCCCGTGAGCTCACCATGCGAAGTTGGAATAGCCCCTTAGATACCGTACCAACGATTAGGTAGAGAAAAAGGAAAGAGTGGTACCTTCCCGTGCGGACTCAAAATATGTCTTACCACCAAAATCGATTAGTCAATAAGCGGTTAATGTTAACAAAATAACGAAAAAATAAGAATAATAATTGGTCTAATCTATACTAATATTATAATGAGGAAAGAAAGATAAGCGGTAGGCAGCGGCTTGGCTCTGCCCCTGGCATTGCTGAAGTCCATGGGCGACGGTAACCAATCACCATCAGGTGGACCGTACGCTCGTCTGCCTACAAGGGCAATAAAAAAAAAGATTTGTTTGTTTGTTTGTATTGAATAGGCTCCGAAACTACTGAACCGATTTGAAAAATTCTTTCAGTGTTTGGAAGCTACACTATCCCCGAGTGACATAGGCTATAATACTTTTTTTTTTAATTATGGATCCTCACTAAAACTCTAATAATGTTACGAAAATTAGAAAAATAATAACATAAAAATGATGAAAAAATTGATAAAAACAAATATTATTTCATGAAAATAAAAGTTCATTATATTCTATATATTAATACGTGAAGCAAAAACTTTGTAACCCTTTTTACGAAAATTGCGCGGACGGAGGAGTATGAAATTTTCCACACTTATAGAGAATATAGAGAAGAGTGCACAATGCTATATTTTTTTTTAAGTAATTCATAAAAGGTACATTAAATCAATAAAGAAAGCATTACACACACTACCATGTATTTGAGACACACACGCATGCATACTATTTGTTTATTGTCAAACTTTTCTTATTGAATAAAATCTATGGTCAAATTGAGAATAGATTAAATATTGTTTGTCTTTGTTAATATTTGTCTAAAGTGTAGTCTTGGCGAAATCTGTGATTATAGAAGTATATTCATTAGTCTTTGACAATGGAACCATAATGATGTTCTAATTTATAATTTAAATTAATTATTATAGTCGAATTTCGGCTACTTCGGGAACATTAATTAGGTATAAATACATGCCTTTTTTAAGATTATATTATTGGCATGCATTTTAAGCCAAGGGCGATTAGGAAGAACCAGTTTTTAACAGTCTATATCCGACGTAAAAGAAAAAAACACATATGTAAACAAAACTGTCCTAAACTTATACCATTAAGAATGTCTTTTAGAATTTTATTAGCACTTAAAAATATATATATACATAGAAATACCATATCCAAACATTAGATGCACATAATAAAAATATATATCGGCAATTTTTTTTCCACTCGATAAATAAGGCGATTTTTGTGACTCGCTTTGACATTATCAATTATGACAGCTTTTAGAACTATAGCAATGTCTGAGAGTATTGTTACCTGTTGATACCTGTTCATTATATATACGTCTGAGTACGAGTATTATAATGATATCTATTATCAAATTTATAACGTTAGGATCTAAGGTATAGGAAGTTTTGTAATTTGCAAGCACTACGGAAGTATTGTGGTGAGAAAATGCACATTTAATATTATTTTTACTTACAACATTACTGCTCAATTCCATTTTAATAATAACGAACACAGAATACGACTTATTATCAAACGTAACATCAATGAACTGAAGACACCGAATAAGTACGTACGACATTCAGCAGCCTCTCCGTGTACACTCGCGAACAGAAAAACCGGGTAATTTTTTTTTTCATTAATTGATGATGTATTAAAAAAAAGGTGTTTTTAATTGGAATGTCTTGAGACGTGTTGTTATGATTTTTGTTACAGCGCTGATTAATGTTGTCACCTCTTACTGGTGGTAGGACCTCTTGTGAGTCCGCACGGGTGGGTACCACCACCCTGCCTATTTCTGCCGTGAAGCAGTAATGCGTTTGGCTTTGAAGGGTGGGTCAGCCGTTGTAACTATGCTGAGACTTTAGAACTTATATTTCAAGGTGGGTGGCAGCATTTACCGTATAGATGTCTATGGGTTCCAGTAACCAATTGACACCAGTACCAATTGGGTTACACATAACCAATTGGGCTGTGAGCTCGTCCACCCATTTAAGCCATAAAATAAAATAAAAAATAAATCCCTGGACTGGTGCGTTGGTCCTCTCGATCGGCGGGTCATCCGGGGACCGACTAGATGGCACGTAACTAGAAGTATCACATCGCGCGATATCCCAATATGCCTTATCGCGTCTACTTTTTTCGGTATTTTTATGTTTAACTTTCTTATTCGATTATTTTTGTTTTGATGTGAGTACTTCGTGATTATAGTGAGTAGATGATAACTAGTTATGGCGTGAGTATCATTGATCAGGTAATTCATATGCAACCATGTGATGTTGTGCGTGTGAAATGCCTTAAATTTATGGCCTTACATACAATTGTTATTTATTAACTTTTATTACAATGTAATTAATTATTATGTGCTATACTTGAGTGCACGCTTGTACTTCTAACATAGTTGTTTCCCTACCGCTTTTAGTGTTTTTACTGTTAAGGTTGCTTACAAGTAAATTACATTGAATCCTGCAAGATAACAACTGAAATGTAAAGGTTTCAGTTATCAACCTTGCTTGCACGACAAGTTATAAAATCGTTTCTTGGTATATCGCAAAAGAAGACGTGACGTGATATTATTTTCATTAGTATTTACTGCATTTTTAATCGGGTTGAAACATACGTATATGCGGAACCGACACACGCAAAACTGACATGGTTCTCTGACTTTTTTTGTTGTTGCTTATATGGGTGGACGAGCTCACAGCCCACCTGGTGTTAAGTGGTTACTGGAGCCCATATATATCTACAACGTAAATGCGCCACCCACCTTGAGATATAAGTTCTAAGGTCTCAAGTATAGCTACATCGGCTGCTCCACCCTTCAAACCGAAACGCATTACTGCTTCATGGCAGAAATAGGCAGAGCGGTGGTACCTACCCGTGCGGACTCACAATAGGTCCTACCACCAGTGATTACGCAAATTATAATTTTGCGGGTATTATTTTTATTACACGATGTTATTCCTTCACCGTGGAAGTCAATCGTGAACATTTGTTAAGTACGTATTTCATTCGAAAAATTGGTACCCGCCTGCGGGATTCGAACACCGGTGCATCGCAACAACGAATGCACCGGACGTCTTATCCTTTAGGCCACGACGTCTTATCCTTTAGGCCACGACGACAGTTGTCTTATGGACGCTGAATGTTTTTTTAGAACAGATTGTGGAACGTTATGTGAGATTGGTGTCCCGATAGTTCTGCGGCTTTCTTTGAAAGCGACTAGATTCATTCGCGAAGCAGTTGCTCTGGACTTGTTAGGTCTCTTTTGGAGGCTCTCGGGCAACTGTTAGAAAATCTCCTCGTGGCCGAGCTTTTGCTCACCCATTTGTCTTGGTGAAACTGGAAAGGCCTCTGGGCCACCAGTAATCCCTTATTCATAAAATAATAAAATGAAAGCGACTGGTTAATGCTATTTGTTAAATGTCATATGTTATAGCTTTTAGGTGTGTTCTACAAACCTGTATATTGCCTGGTTATGAATGATCGGAATTCTCATGGTGAGGTTCTGAAGGCAAAACTAGCAGACACACTTTGGGCGCGTGGACTTCGGCCCGGCTGATATATCATGTGATAAGTGTAGATCGTGATGTACGAGAGTGTGAAGGTCGAGGTGGGCACTTCGGGGCTTTACTTCATATTTTTAAGGTCGAGGTGGACACTTCGGTGCTTTACTTACCATTTTTAAGGTCGAGGTGGACACTTCGGTGCTTTACTTACCATTTTTAAGGTCGAGGTGGACACTTCGGTGCTTTACTTCCCATTTTTAAGGTCGAGGTGGACATTTCGGTATTTTACTTACCATATATTTTTAGAGCAGTATGGTAGATGCTGGTTCGGCTGGATCTTTCGTTCCTGCTGTTTAACTCTGTTGTGTCGGTAATGTTCATTATCTGTATGTGTCAATATTGCTAATTACCGTGCGCTACTGTGTTAGACATTCCACAAACGGACTAACACAATAAATATATCGTGCATGTGTCTCAAATTGCGCAGTTTGAGACAGTTGTACGATATCCTCTCTTCTCACTTCAAAATTTTATTTTTGGCTCGTTCATGCTGCCTATGTATAGTGCACGATTGCATCTGTAGTGGAGATTCTAAGTTTTAGAAGGTTTTAGAACATTAAGGTCTAAGTATAAGTTTTTTCTGTGTTACACAGTGTGAAATCGTTAACGCAAACTCTGACTTAGCTGGCGGAGATATGCCTCTGTTGAGGGATGAAGCGATCGAGGACGACTTGCCGTTAGGAACGGCCGTATTATCAAGCCCAGGCTCCCCTCACTAGCGCTACACTAAAAACAAGCCATTACTGGGCTTCGTATTCATCTTCCCGATCCATTATCGGTGCTTGTGGGTACCTCAAGGATCAGTCACTGTTCTCGTCGAGCCTGCCGCTTGCGACGAAGGGTTTGGCAAATAAACTAACCCACAGATACCGCCCACTGAGTTTCTCGCCCGATCTTCTCAGTGGGTCACGTTTCCGATCCAGTGATTCTACGAAGCACTGCTCTTGTTAGGGTTAGAACCCCGTCTTCAAGTTAGAACCCCGTGACCTCACCTACTCGCCTGGTTACGTTGGCATAAGCCCTTAGGTTACAAGCTTAGATAGGACAAGAAAAAAGGGGTTCTTTTTGAGACCTGTTGTGTGGTCGCTGTCTATAAAAGGCAGTACAGAAAAGGTCAAGGGGCCATATTTGGTGACTGGGTCACGTACGTAATCTGTCGGTTTCACTGGAGAGACTAAGAACATTTTCTAAAGATTTTGTATACCATACTAGCTGACACGGCAGACTTTGTAGTGCCTCAATCGATAAATAAAAGACCTAAGCTTTTGTATTAAATTAAGTTAAAACAAACAAAAGGAACGACGGGGGACACATGAAAGGGAAAACAAAATTGGTATTTTTATTTAATTCCGAGCATTTTCATATTTATTTACCTTTTAAACCTTCTCTGGACTTCCACAAATCATTCAAGACCAAAATTAGCCAAATCGGTCCAGCCGTTCTAAGTTTTAGCGAGACTAACGAACAGCAATTCATTTTTATATATATAGATTACTAATTGTATTTTTTGTGGGTGAACAAAATATGTGGGTTTTTTTTTCTTTCTAAATTAACAAACGTACTCTACAGTTTAATCACGGACATCTGGCACGTTTGAATACATTAATATCTATGTATTTTTATTAAGATTTTTCCTCAATTTTTTTATAAACTACCGGTTCAGTTTACAATTGACAAAAACAAGAAAACCTGGATAACATTTTGTTTCTCAAAACTTAGTGACACGTTTTTCTTCTTCTTTTTCTCCACCTTATCCCACTAGGTGGGGTCGGCACAGCTAATTTTTCTCTTCCATTCTCTTCTATCAGCCGTCATCTCAACACTCACTCCTCTCTCTCTCTCATATTGTCATTCGCACACTCTATCCATGTCTTCTTCGGTCGACCTCTTCCCCCTCTACCTTGCACTACCATTTCCATACATCTCTCATACATCTCTTAGTGACACGTTTTTAGTCTCAATTCAAAGTCATTTGACTGGTTTTATCATGTCAAATGACGATCGATGATAATTATCCAAGCAGCTCCAAGCAGCACATAGACAATAGTAGATGCCCGCCCGGGATGGACGTCAACTTTTGGGATGAAAAGCGACATAGGTTTCTATTCTGAGTAGAGACGAGTTTCGTTCCTGTAAAACTATAAATGCGAGTTTTTGCGAATGAAACCGGAGACCGCGCCTAACTTAAACCGAGATACAGATATTAAGTGCCCGACTGTACATTATCTTTAATAATACTATGTTATCTTCAAATCATTATTAGCATAAGATTTTGTGTCTCACATTTTGTTGTTCAACAGAATGCGATTACAAGATTATGCTTCAAATTTGTTTGACGGCATCTCATTGTGTTTTAATGCTTATTTTTGGTAACTTTAGTTGGCGTGGTATGGACATGTGATGCGTAGAGAGAAGATGCATGTGACTAGGAGATGTATGGGAATGGTAGTGCAAGGTAGAGGGGGAAGAGGTCGACTGAAGAGGACTGGTTTTTCACTGGTGGTAGGACCTCTTGGGAGTCCGCACGGGTAGGTACCACCACCCCGCCTATTTCCGCCGTGAAGCAGTAATGCGTTTCGGTTCGAAGGGTGGAGTAGGCGTTGTAACTATACTGAGACCTTAGAACTTATATCTAGAGGTGGGTGGCGCATTTACGTTGTGGATGTCTATGGGCTCCAGTAACCACTTAACACCAGATGGGCTGTGAGCCAGTCCACTCATCCAAGCAATAAATAAAAAAACATGGATGGAGTATGTGAATGACGATATGAGGAGAGAGGAGTGAGTGTTCAGATGAAGGCTGATAGAAGAGAATGGAAGAGAAAAATTAGCTGTGCCGACCCCACCTAGTGGGATAAAGTGGAGAAAAAGAAGAAAAAGAAGAAGAGTTGGGAAATCTATTTGTGTACTCTTGCTCACGTTTGGTCGACAGGTCTGTCTGTACGATTCTTGGGTATGGCTTA